ACCTATCACACGACGCCTTGCTGGTATGTTAGCCTGATTGACAGGGCACACTCAGCGAGGGGCGAGGGGGAAGGGAGAAGGTAAAACAGGATATTGCAACACACCACAACACTCTAGCATGTACTTTTCTTTGTGTGCCATTGATGCCTTGCATTAAGTTAAGAGAATAAAGTAGGTGTTTATTAAAGGCCTTCAGAAAAGATATACCTTGGGCAGCGCAAAAGCCTCACAGGCTACACCCCAGAGGGATGACAGTCCTCAGTTTCTAAGATAGATATAAGTTTGTTCTATTTGCATATCAGAGGTTAATTGTCCAATTACAGCTTCCGGTAAGGAAGTCATATTCCCTGGGTTTGCTTCCTCCCCTGACTCACTTTTGTTTATACTTTTTGGGGTCTGAGGCAGAAGGTGTCCTTGGTTCTCAGGCCTGGAAGGATTGTTTTACCTGAGAAAAATGTGAAGGGAGCTTACTAATACTCTGTATGGAGTTCAGAGTTATACACTTATTCAATACCAGATCTGAAAAATACAAAACCTAAAATCTTAAGGCATCACTATCACAAGAGAAACAGTCCCCAGTTCCCAGGAGTGGCTCAGTCTGTAGGAATTCATTCTGTTCAGTGCTGTTGGTTTCTGTAATTATCACCTGGGATGACAACTGTCATGCTTGCAGTGCCATATGTACCTCCTTAAAGAATTCCCCAAGGGAATAGAGGAGAGATGATCATGAGTCAGGTTTTGCAGGAGGTGGAGGTAGTTCTCACCATAGGTGCTCCAGACACAGGACACAGCACAGCATCTCGTAGAGGCAGTCACCAGGGTCCAGAACACCCACATCCTTCAACTCCTAGAGGCCAAAGCAGTATTTCCTGCTGGGCTTCTCTGCAACACTTTTCATTCAGTGATGCATGTGATAGTAAAAACTGTCCCAAGAGATGGAATTGCATGGCCACAAGCACTAACAGAGATGGCGTCTGCTCTGGCATGAAAGAGATTTGTAGTTTAAAGCTTAACTGGGAAACACACCTCATTGTTTCAAGACAGGACTCTCATTTTAGATCTAAATATAGGTGCCATATGTTCCCACACACAAGCACAGCCTTCTCCCACTGTTATTACTGCAAAAGACTGTTGCCAGAAATGGCATCTTGCAGAAGTGAGGTCAGAGAAGAATGCTGCATGTGTGATGAAATGGATCCCACATCAAACATGCTTTCCAAGTCAACTGCATAGTCAGGCATTGGAGAAGGCTGCCTAGGGAAGCTGTGGGTTTAATTAAAAGTTGTACAGATGTCTTTCAGGAATGGTCCCATTGTGCTTAATATCATTTGAGAGCAAAAGAATGAACTAACTGGCCTCTGCAAATCCTCCCCAGTACCATGTTTTCATGCTAACTTCTTTTTTATGATTCTGGATTTAAGCACCAATATTTTCAGTGGTATGATTTTGACATTCTACCATCAGATGAAAGAAATCTTTATGAACATGAGTCGGCCAGTAAAGAAGAGGGATCTGATTCTGAATGCCTATGTTAGATGAGAAATTTATCAAGAAAACAGAATATTTTGTGATGCCTTCTAATATATATTTTTTGTAGAGGGCAAGCCAAGAAAAGGTGTGACATATCCTTCAACCCTTGAATATTCTTCTTCAAAAAGCACAGCTGTTAAATCAGGCAAGTATTTGACTATCCCTTACATCCATTCACAACTATCTGTCATAGCTTCTCAGTTGTATAATACAAAGACATAACTATTCAGAGGCACAAGTTCATGCATCCATTAGTATGTCATCCAAATCACTCATGGTATTTTTTTTATCTTAAGCATATGGAAATCATCTCAGACAATTTCTATTTTTTGGTCATGCCATGTTTCACAGACTTCTGGTTCCAAATGCTTTTCCCCTTGCTTTAGATCTGTTACTGAACATGATGGTGTGCTGGTCATGTGCAAGCATTTGAGGTTACACATGTTGTTTTCTCCTAATGCTACTCATGCTATCTATCCCTTGGGATACTCAGTGCTGAGAGTATAATATTAAATAGTAATATAATACAAATGAAAGAGATGGTAATGCACAGCAGCTTAACTAAGAATGCTACAATAAAGAAATACTCTGTATAATCATTTTAGTCAGCATCCTACTCTGTAAGACTCAACTCAGTTTAAATAATTTAGTTGTTTGAAGAGGTCTTTGATCAAGTTTCACACTGGTGGGTAGCTGACATTCTAGTGCACATGGATTACCCTTGTCAGTGAAATGACACTTGGTTTTGCTCCCTATTACAGCTATGTAATGTTCAGACTCTCCCTCGGGGATGCAAACAAAAGGAAAATAATGTCCCATACTACAGTGCACTTCCCTTACACAGTCCTTTTGCTGATTGCTGAGCCTGATCCTTCCTGGGCATATCCACTGTGAGCTGTGGTATAAGGAAATGTGCTGTATCTTCATGAACTCAAATGCCTGGCATTGGGTGCATTCATCCAAGACCACAGACAGGTTACTGGAGACCTCCTCTTCTCCTGTAGGCTATTGTTTTGTCCTTGGAAGAAGAGTATAGAGCTCTTTTCTCACAGAAACATAGAATCACTACGGTCAGAAAAGATCATCAAGTACAACTCAGCACTGCCAAGTCCATCATAACCCTGTCCTTAAGTGCCACATCTTCATGTCTTTCAAATATCTCCAGGGATGGTAACTTCATCACTTCCCTAGAAAGCCTGCTCCAATGCTTGACAACGCTTTCTGTGAAAAAATTCTTTCCAATATTCATTCTAAACCTTCCTGCCCCAGGAAATGGCAACCTGAGGCCATTTCCTCTTGACTGACTCCCACCTCACTACAACCTCCTTTCAGGTACTTGTAGAGAGCCATTAAGTCCCCTCTGAGCCTTGAGGGTTTTTTTCAGGCTAGAACAACTGAGTTCCCTCAGCTGCTCCTCATGAGACTTGTGCTCCAGCCCCTTCACCAGCTTCATTGCCCTTCATCTTTATATTTTCACTTAAACAAAAGCAAATTTAAATCTCAAAGCTGTAGTTGTTCAGACCAAATATGTGTAGCTCAATTCCATGCCTTTAATTTGTAATACATTTGCATTTACAATCAAATAGGTACAGATTTGTATATTTCTTGACCATATATGCAGAAATTACTTGACCCAAACATTATGCTCTGCTAGAAGGGAGGGCAATACCTTAGGAATCTTGACTTTTTCTGAGCAATGTTCCTTAAATCACAGCTCATCATTCCCAACTGGAGTAGCCACACCTGAAATATCAGCCCAAACATTTCAGAGCAGACCAGAGAAAATCACAACCAGGACTGAGCTTAGCAGGCTGTAAGCAAAGGTCTCTTCCACCAGTGCCAAAAGCCATGTAATGTAAGAATCAGTGTAGAAATGGGGAGCATCATCAGTCAGGGTTCTGTAACACAAACAAAATACCAGGAGCTTGTTCCTGCAGCAAAGCAAAGACACAAGTGTTCACTTTGTTCCTGAATCAAATAGTGTGACTGAAATGCCAGGATTCTACCACCACAGACAGTGCATTCATGCAGAGAAAGGCCAGGATTATCAGAGGAGCAAGCAACTGTTATATCAAACCCAATGTCACTGCCTGATTTTGCCCATCCTTGTTCCACAGGTAGCAAAGAGATCCATTGTTCACAATCTATCTTCCTCAGGCCCTCCTTGGCCCTATCAGCCCTCCTTAGATCTGCCACCTCAGCTCAGCCATCTCAGCTGTTGTCTGTTAGAAACAGCTTGTCTTTAAGATAAAAGTCTCTGTAATATGCAGCCAGGGCCATTTTGTGAAAGAGAATTTCCTACTTACTTTTTAATATTAAAAAAAAAGCTACTTTTTTCTTTTCATTGAATTACAGAGACCACACTGTTCACTTTGATACTTAAATCCATTACCTGCAGGAGGCAAAAGCAGTCCTTTGAGTATTACACTCACTGCTGTCAGATTAACAAAAAATCCTGCTTCATACCTGATCAGCTGTCAGAGATGCAATTTTAGTCCTCATCCCAGAGATGCCAGAGATTCATAGTCCCTGACATTTCTTTAAATGCTCCTGGTGGTTACAGTGCTTCTCAAATTCTGGGCACGGCAAGAAAAGCCGTCCCAAAATTGTAACTCTTCACAGCTGCTCAAAACTATTAAAAGATATTTAGAAAAAACAGTAGAAAATTTTAGGAAAACATTAACACTGCAGTAAATTCTCTAACAGTTTCATGCTGCCAAAAGAGCTAGAGAATAACAAAACCAAAAAACCCCAAACAAACAAACAAAACAAACAAACGAACAAGAAAAAACCACAAAAAGTAAACCAAAAAGGGAAGAAGAAAATCCTCCAGTACTCAGTCAGATAAAAAAGCAGAAGCAGATTATTTTGTGAGATAGCAGTAAATAAACTATAATGAGTATTCCAAGTATTTTGGTGTCTCTGGGTCTTAGAAATAAAAAAAGAACAAAAACAAATCTCCCTTTTCCTTCTAAGCCAGTCTGTGACATTCAGGATTTGGACCCATAATGATCTCAAAATGTCAGGCAAGAAAGAAATATATCTGAACATGAATTAGCAACTGAAAGATTGCACATTAGCAAGTATTTCCCAAACAATGTACACACATCATGACCCTGGTTCCCAGAACATGCTCTGCTCAGAGGAAAAAAATATGATGCATAAATCCCAATGAGTATTGGCTTATTGGTGGCAAACCCCCATACTTCTTGCTCACTTCAGAAATTCTGTGGATACTGACAGAAGCTTTTGGGCTGTAAAAATGCCAATGATTGGCATGAAAGATAGGGGGTGACTACTCCTTAGTTGTCGCTTTTTCCCAGTAGGTGATGAAGCTCCATCTGGACTGCCAAACTTCCTAATGGCATGTGATAGGATGCCTTCCTTTGGGGACTGATAATTTCTGAATGGGAGACTTGAAATTATTTTCTTTACACAGCTGCCTTTTCTAATGTGCTCAATTTTGCTTCAGAGCCCAAAAAACCAGAGCAAGACCTAAAAGGTATGAAGAGTGCAGACACCTCTAACACATCAGAAAAAGCGTCAGATCAAGGTAAGGGCTGGGGATCTTGATGCTCTTTACAGTACCCAACCCAGCCAATCTGCCTGCAGGTGCTTGTAGGGAGCATTTTGACACTGGTTACACGGACAGCTTTACATCCCCCATCCCAACCTCCTCTTCACAGCCCCTTTCCCACCAAACTGAACTGAAATGGAGCTTGAACGGCTTCTGCTAATTCAAAGAGGGTACTCACAGAGTTTAACTTCTGCCTGTGCTTTGAATGAGTTGAGGTTTTATGAACTTGAAAATCTTGCATTATGGTCCTTGGCAATCTCCTATGCAGGGCACGTTCCCTGCAAACCCTTTGAAGATACAGTGAAAGAGATGGGTACCCCGCCTGCAGGAGCACTGGGAACAGCTTCCTCTTGTGTTAAAGGACCCAGGAGAAACTCAGCCAACATGCACCAAGGCAACAGCTTCTCTTTGCTCTTACTATGCTGCTTCCTCAGCATTTCTGATAATACTGTTAGCTTCCAGCTTCCTTGCTCCTCACAGGCTGGCATATAAAGCTGGCCAGTGTGCCTGCTCCCGACTCCAGTAGTGCAGGATCACAGGGGAAGGCTCACTGTGCCCTCTATTTTCTTTCTTTTAGCACAGTTTCATGGAGCAGTGCACTGTTCAGCCCAAAAAGAGCCATTCATGCTGATTTTTTCAGCTGAGTTGTTTTGTTTTTCTTCTGAGACCGCTTTCAGCATTATTCCATTAAAACTGTCTGAGATCTGAGTTTTTCACTGCCTAGCATTAGGTGATAATTAATCCACCAGACAGTTTCACAACGATGCCTTCCAAGAGGAGAACATCCAGAAATAGCAGTAGAGCACAAGCTTGTGTTGTGCAGCAGTGAATGGAGTGTGCACCATTCCCTTTCCATGTAAACACTGGGCCAGGCCATCCCCAGGGCTATCAGCAGCAAGGAAAGGAACAAGACCAAGGTTAACATGGAATATATTTTAGGGCGGTTTTTTGTAGCTAGCTGGAAAAGAAAATAGTGAAGAACCTTTTTTGAGAAAATGACTTGGAAGATTCTGAGCTTGTTGACTATTTTTGTAAGGATATTTAGGATATATATTTTGCCACTAGAATTGTCACTGTTCTCACAACAGATGATACATTTTAAAAGTAGTAGCAACTGTGAGATGAGTCAATCTTAGATGAGATTGGCACCTTCCAGGTGGTGGGTGATCTCCCCCACTCTCCTCAGCCAAAGCCCTGATGCTCCCTGTTCTGGCTCTGACCCTCTCCCCCAAATCATCTTTATGTAAAAGTTGTCTTTCTGTGAAAAACATTTCAGTGCTGCAATTTTTTTCTGGTCTATGACTCAGATGGGCCATCTTTACTACCAGATGCCAGCTGATTTCCATTTATATGGACCTTCTAAGTGCTTAATTACACTGAGGAAGGATGATGCCAAAACAGAATCTGCAACTGGCTGGTTGAACCATTTCATAGGTCTGAGACATCTGTCAGTTTGATGAGTGTTCCTGGCCAAAGCAGAAAAGTGCAGGGGGAGCATTAATGCTGCAACAGGCTGCTGTCAGCACCCTCTGAGAGCAGAGCATCACACAGGCACCTGCACTACACGCCCACAATGAAGGCACTGATGGCTCCACAGATGAGGGTGCTTGTAGGCATCCTGAAGCGAATGCCAGCTTCTGGGCTGCCTTAAACATGGAGTGCTGCTGCTGGTGCTTCCATCCATGTCACACATCCAGCCACGGTGACATGTCAATGTTCCTGCAGGGGACACGGCCCGCAAAGAGCGTCAGACAACTCCGGTGCCGACACCAGGCACAGAAATGGCCACCACCACCCCCACACCGACCACCACGACGACAGAGCCTTCCACCACAGTGCCACAGCCAACCACAACCCCTGCAGCACCCAGAACCACAGCAGCTCCAGCCAAGGCCAGACCTGGACTGCACAGGGGCAGAGATATGGGTCAGTAGCATGGGCGTTTGCATTGCTTTCCTCCTGACTGACAGCTTTCTAAAATTTAAGGAATAAGATATACAGATGGATGTACCATGATTTAGAGGATCATGAGTTCAGTAATTCAATGGAGAAATACTAAGAGTGGAAAAAAAAAATTAAGTCCAGCAGACCAATTTATGTGAGAGTAAGCTCTCCATTCCCAAATGTTGTGATGATTTTCAGGTATAGAAGTCAATTAATAGTTCTTTGATTCTCACATCTAGACTGAGAGATCAACAGATAGCTGAAGACTCATTTTAGAATTAAATTTGTGATAACTCTCAATAGATTAAAGCTGTAATGTATTTTTTGTAACAGCTTTTGAATTTTTAAGATTAAAACACTGTGAAGGAATTCTCATCCTTTTTTTGCACACCTGATTTTCCTTAATCTTTCCTTCTTCATTTATTGTTATTCATTAGCATTGTGGGGATTTGCTTCAATAGCTGAAAATTAAAATCTCTTATTTTTAGGTTCCAGCAGTGTCCACCCAGCATATGCATCTGTGGTAGCTGCAGCAGCAAGTAAGTATGGTGAAGTAAGTATGCCACAAGGCATGCAGCACAGTGGGTTTTAGGGCAGCAGTGATTCAATAAACTTTCAAGCCTCAGCAAACTCAATGACTGAATCCAAGCCTGGATTTAAACTGAAAAAACAGACACTTGTCCTGAATGTCAAAGATGCTGATCAGCCACAGTTCTGAGGAAGTGTTTCTAGTGAGTTTCAGCCCATTTCAGCTGTGACAAAAGCTGGGCCTTGCAAAACTTGAGACAAAGATTTTGCTGTTTGAATCATGTTTTCCTGTCATACTCTTTCAAAGGGAGGCTTGGTTTAGCTGTAAAATACACAATGCAGAGGGCTGCAGAGCCATCTAGGCTTAGGGCTGAAAGCTCTGAAATGCTGACACACGTTAAAGCACTCTTCTCTCAAAAATCCCAGGCTGTGGTTCTGAGCCTGGCATACACGTGATGTTATTCCTGGCTTGCCACTTGTTATTGACAGCAGAATGGCAGCTGCTCAGAGCTCTGCATCTCAGCCCAGGAGCCTGCTCCCCATCCAGCCCACAGCCTGCAATGCAAGTATATAGAGGTGTTTTTCCATACACTGTGCAATTGCTCAGCTGTGCAGTCAAGAAAAGGAGAATATTTTCAACTGTTTGAAAGGTTCTGAGCATGGGGATATGATTGCTTTTGAGTGAAAAGGGAGCTGGGCTATCATTAGCTTTCATGCTCCAAAGCTATTTCTGAGTGCTTTCAACTCAGCTTTCCTCTCACATTACTGCAGTCATCCCCAGTGCCAAGTAATCCACAGCCAAGAACATGGCAGGGCAAGTATCTTTTGGGTAATTCAGGTCTTGAGGGGAAGCACAATTAAGTAAAATTTAGTTGTGAGTGCAGAATAAGGGCAGGGGCTGGAGGGGTTAATCTTATCAAGTCAAATGTGCAGGTAGGTATGTGCATGGCAGGATTTACATAAGTGACCACAAGGTTCAAAAGTGTTTAAATTCTGTGGAAATCTGCATCATTCAGAACCTGATGTGCCTGCTAACTTGGTTCTGCTTGTTGCTTTCTTTTCTATTTCCTATTCCCACAGGCTGAGCACAGGGGAGGCCTTTATTGGCTTTACTAGCAGTTAGGAAACCCTGTTTGTGGTTCCCCAGTCAGGAAGATATGTGTGTTGAGAGTAAAGTTTTGGCAACACTGAAATCAGTGGGAAAGTTGTATTTGCTTTAATAAGACAAGTAATTTAGTAAAAAAATTGAAAACAAACTCCAAACAAAACAAAACCAAAAAAACAATCAATGACCCCAAAACAAAATCTTCACTAATTTTCCAATGTTTTCAGTGGTCACTTAATTGTAATTTGGATCCATCTTTCTCCACAATTTTCTTTACCAAAGTTCTAATCATAATTCATTCCCAAAATATTAAAGTGATCACAGCTAGGAAGGGGGTTATTGTGAGCTGGAGTGGTAGAGACCCACTTCTGATTTCACAGACTTCATTTCTAGGATTATATCCAGCATGTCAGTACCTGAATTCCCCTGACCCCTTCTTGATTCCAAAAGACAAGAGCTGGATAAATTAAAAAATATAGAAAGTACAAATACAGTTTTGATGTCATGATCACGCATAAAGCAGTTCTCTCTGTCTGAGGACCCTTTAGAACCCACTGCTATTATTCAGGCCAGAGTTTCTGATTGTTGGTATTAACCAGAGTTTGGCTTGACTGAACAGAATCAGATGTTGTCCTGTCCATCCTGGCTCACAGAGACTCACAATTCTACCTCTCACTGTGCATTGGTAGTTTGCCTGCAAAAGACACCTCAAAAGTCAACAGCTATGAAAGAGCACAGTCAGAATGAACACACCCTTTCCATTTCCAGCCACTGGCACTGGCAATAGTTCACAGGAGCAAAAGAAAAGCAGGATTTTTAGAGCATGAGATTTAGATTAGAGCATGGGAGCAGGGGCAAAACTGCTGCCCTAGTTCTTGCTGTTCTTTCCCCTTTATTTTCTGCCTGTCAAAGACAGAGTAACATAAAAAATAATGGAGACTCTGCTCCATTGCCAGACCCCTGCTTCAAAGACTTGATGTGCCAAAACTGCTAAATGAAAAAACACTGATGTGACTAGTGTGCCATATGACAGCTGGTTCCTGCCTGCCCTGCCAGGGCTGCTGCCTCTGTCCAACAGCAGCTAACCCAGAACACTCCCAAAGGCCACAGGCTCACTTTTCTCTCCCATCCCAGCTCTTCAAGCAATCCTCTCTTGCACAGCAGTTTGGACCCTAGATGAGGCTTGGGTCTAAATCCAGTGCTTCTGTGAACACTGCAATCATAAATCGTGTCATGATCCTTGGTGCCATGTCAAAGCACTGAGTTTGCAGCCAAGCATCAGGCAGCAATTTCCTGGGCATTGTCAGGTGAGGTTCTTTCCTGCCCCCTGTGTCCAGGTGAGGTCAATGGCTGCATCTATTTTCTATTTTCAAGCAGGGACTCCAAGCTGGGCACTGCCTACCATGGTGCACTACACAGATTTCATCCCCAGCTGTGACTCAACTGGGCAGTAAACAGAAAGGTATTGAAAGGACGTGACACAGTGGGAGTGTAAGTGCTGGAGAGGGCATTGGAAGCTCTTCTCCAGCAGGAACACCAGTAGGGCTCATGCCTTCAGGAAGCACTGGACAAACATTCCATCCTGGCACCAGGGAGAACAGCTGGTGTTTATTTTTGGATGCTGCCTTTCTCCCCAAGTTATCCCTGACTACTTAAGCACATCAAGGGTGCTGACCAAGGTGCAGATGGCCAGGCATGTTTTGTGCACAGAGTAGCTCCTTTTCTTGTCAAATCAGTTCTCATTGTTCACAAGGTTCACTCTAAACCGCTGTTCTTATCATTCCCTGCCTTCATGCCTCCCTGCTCACCACAGAACTTGCCAACCAAGGTTTCTCTGCCTCACTACTTTGATTTTTGACATGGTTCTTGGAGTTTGCCTGGGACTGCCCATCCCCAGTTTGTTACAGACTTCTCCTAGTCCTGCTCAGCCTCCAGCTTGCACAGAGTTCTGTTCTAATGAACACATATTCCCATGCCACAGCCTCACTGGCATCTCAGATTTGAAGGAAGAACAAGCCTTGCAACCTGGAAGTGCAAATCCAACTTTTCCTCCTCTACCACCAGCATGCTTGCCCCAGCCAACAGAAGCATGACAGGAAGCAGCTCACTGCAGGGATGGGATAATGTGCCTTTGGGAGCTACAGCAGGAGGGAACAGCTCTGTGGCTCAGCACAGTCAAAAGGTGCATAGAGAGAAATCCACATTGCTAACATCAAATTAAGATTTAAAAGTGGCATAAAATACTTGGATACTGAGGTAATCTCTCCTTTACCCTCTTGTACTCTGTTTCCTCTGACCTTGTAAAGAGTGTTAGATCACACTGGGCCTCAGTCATGGCAAACATGAGACAAGGGCAGCTCTGAGACCCAGAGTTAATTTTCTACCACCCCTTTGGCATCTACTGATCTCCTGTGTGCAAAGCCTGCCCTGTGCTGTCCCACACAACACTGACTGCTGCACACACACATTTTCCCCTCTGAAATCTGAATAGTCAGTCTGGTGTAGCTGTGGCCCATCTGGAGCCTTATAAGCTTAGAGTTTAAAAGCCTTGCCAGTTTGGCAGATGAGCCCATTACTTCCATAACAGGATCTCTTTGGCATCTGGAGTTTACAAGGTCTCTCAGGACAGCTCCTAGAAATCCCATCAAATGGTTTCTAGTGGCCTGGAAGGTTCAAGTTTGGGTCAAACACAAGCTACTTACTGTCTCCTTATTTTGCAATGTCAAGCTCCCAAGGAGCAGCAATTCCTGTTTTCTGAGACAACCATTCAAAATGGTCTCATTGATGACATCTTATTGATAGAATAACCTCCCAGGCCCCTGCCAGTGTTCACAGAGTCCAGTAGAACATTCCCACTGATTTCACCAGGCTTTCAAAATAATCTTTCTGGGAAAACTAATGAATAAAGGCTTGTAAAAGGATAAGTTTTTAACAGGCTTCTTAAGAAAATTTAATGAAATGAAAGGCATGATTAAAGACATGGTTTTCTTCTGCAAATGATTTCAGCCTTTAGTATTTTTGAACAATGGGAATTTAATAACCCAATCACCTTTAAAAAAACCTTTTGTGGAGAAGACATGTCAGTCACATGAATTCTCCCACATTATTTTCCCATTGTCTCATTACTTACGGTCTGCCTGCTTGCTCATATCCACTTAATCTCTGCAGAAAGGGTACTATCTGGTCTGGGGGGTTGTTTTGGGGTTAAAAACTTCCTCACACAACCAGGACAATTGGATGGTACTGAAATAGAGATAAACACAGATCACCAGTGGAAGTGGGGGAAAGAAAATTACAAAGGAGAGCAAATCACAGAGGTAACTGCAGATCTTTTAAATGCAGACCAGAGACTTGTAGAAGTAATATCCATAACTAAAGGGAACAGACAGATCTGTATGACAGACAGAGCAAGACAGTCCTTTTATAAGCAGGCTCAAAATATATCTAAGAAAGTCTATTAATGACAACTGTGTATATGAACCATTAATTCTGAGAGCTCTAAAGTGAGAGTCAGTGAAAAAGCTAGATAGCAGTAGTACTGAACCAAACATGGTGTAATAAATCACACTTTTCCACTTTGATGTCTACTTAGGACAGGTTCAGGCCGCACAAGGAAGAGGACAGAATACAGGTATGTTTAAATTTAACAACAAGCAGTAGATTTGTACTGCTCAAATACTAGAAAACCTTGTGTTCAAGTTCCGTGTGCTAACCAATATAATATTTTCAAAGCATTCAGGGGCACTTCCACCTCTGCAAGTAACAGGAATATTTTACTACACAATACAGGTAAAGGCATTACAATCCTCCTCTATTTCTTCCCCACAGATATTTTTACCACTTACATATTCCAAGTCATGCAGTAACACACTGTTTTCCCTCCTAACCATGTTCATAGCAGGCTGCAGTGAGAGGAGATATCACAGTGGTCATTGAGTGACAATAGTGTAACTTTAAAGGAAAAAAGCAAACAAGATTGATTAAACAAGGAGTTGTTCTCAAAAAAGTAGTCTAAAATAATTTATAGAGGGCTTTTATAACATTTGCTGTTGCAAAATAAGAGGAGAACGTTGTGTGTGTGTCAGTGTGCAGGACTAAGGCCTGACCCAGCTCACAGGCCCTGAGCACCATCAGCATCCCAGGACCCACTGCCAGCTGTTCCAGAGGACCAGCTAACAGCTGCACTGTGCAGCACCTACTAACACTTAAACTCTTTTGCCAGCCTCTTTCAGCCCTTTTACATTAATTCATAGTTTCCATCTTCCTTTTCTGTGTGGTTTGAAAATGTGCAGAAAGACAATGTGGGGCCACTGCATATCCTGTGATGATGCTCCTCTTTCCTCTCCTCTCCCACTGGCCTCCATTTAACCTCTTGCCTCTTTGTCCCATCATGCAGGTGCTCAGCACCAAGAGCCTGTTGCCACCTTCCAGAGCGCTGCCAGCTCTCCAGTCCACCTGGGTGAGCAAGACTGCTAGCAGCAGGTTTTCCACTCTCTTTAACAGTTTTAGCAACCACAAATTAGCACTTGTACTGCACGCTGTTTTCCTGCATCCTGGAGGGGGACCAGGGCAAGACTCATGCACTGAACACCAACTAGCAGCTTCCTGAAAGGGAAAGGCAGAGCAAAGCTCAGTCACAGGTGACCTGGTGTTTCAGGCCATGGGAATCAACATCTACAAAGTGTTTGCAATTTTTCTTATTTGTTAGTCAAAACAGGAAACAAACAACCATCTCTGTGCAGCCCTTCAGGTCTTTGGGAGAGCTAGATCTTCTGTTCCTGTGCTTCCCAGAAACCTCCAGGCTGACAGTGAAAGTAGAGGCTGCTTTTAATACTGAAAGTTGAAACATCCCCTGTACTGTTCTCTCTTCCTGGAAGTGCAATGGACCCTTCCCCAGCAAGCAGCCCAGTGAGCAGGCACTTCCCAACAGCCTCCCAGAGGCTCCAGAGCTCCCAGCACACGCCAAACACTAAATCTCTCATGAAGGACAGCAGAGATGCTCAGAGACACATTTTGTCTGGGAGCATCCAGGGTGGGGTGCAGGATGGGAGCTGGGTTGCAGCAAGGCATGCAGGGCTGCACCAAGGCTGCAGGGTCCCAAAGCCCCACAGGAGCAGCAGAGCAGGTCCAGGGGTGGTTCCCAGGATGACCTGACAGCCCAGGCTGCCAGGCAAGCAATGGGGCAGGTCTGACCAGGTCTGACCAGCTGAGGCAGGGCACCAGGTAAGGGAGGCAAGGTCTGGGTTGAGATGGCATGGCACTAACATTGGCACAGGTACAAGGAGCAAAGGAGAGCGTGTGCACCTCTGCGCTGTCCCATGGGTGCTTCCCACAGCCTTTTCTCACACACAGCCCTGGCCAAGGCAAGGGCTGCCCTGTACCAGTGCTGACCTCTGGCATGGGCAGCCAAACCCACTGGGAGGGAGAGACTGCAGCAGATGAAGGCAGCCCTGAGGGCTTTGGTGAGAACTGGAATCACAGGAGGAGTATTGTGGCAGGGAAGAGCCAAGTGGTCATTCACATAGAGGTTAGAGGATGTTATTATGCAGGATATGTTATTATCTTTCCAGATAATTCCAGACAAGTAATCTCACCAAGCAGTCTCCTGGTCAAAATGACAATTTGTAGTTGGTCTAGTTGCAGCATATTTAAAATGCACTTGTCATGAGATGTACTCCACTCCCTCACTTTTCTACTCCTCCTCATTTCAATCTCCTTCTCTTCTTTCTGTTTTCCATCTGTGTTTGTCTTTTTCATACATTTTTTGTCCATACCAAAGGATGTGCTGGCTAATTCTCAGGCTAGCCAAATCTTTGCCAGAAAAACAGGAGAATACTGCCGAGCCTTACTTAAATCAAAGTCAGTATTTCAACCCACCTAATTGCTTAAGCCACCTTAAGGTCACCCTAAAGTGATTAAAAGGTACAAATTTTCCATCATAAATTATTCTGCTTTCTTCAACACAGAACAAGAAGGAAAAAAATACAAACATATTTGCTGTATTCCCAGTAAGTCCTGATCCCTTTTTCAGTCCAGAATGTGGCACCTCAGATGTGTTGCTTTCTAGCAGCAAACTTTTCTAACAATCAAAGGAAAATTCCTGAATAAGTCCTTGCTTTCTTGGAAAGGCAGGTTGTTCTTGATCCCACCAAGAGTGTGCAAACAGCAGAGATCAGTTCTGAGAGCTTGGCCATGATGTTGAGGGACTTCCTCTCATCAGCTCAGGCTGCCAGAAAAGTGTGCTAGGAAAATGCCTTCCCCAACACAGCAGTTACTTGTGCAATGCACATTAACTCCCTTGAAATCCCATACTCACTTAGTCTTGAGTTTTCAAGAATGTTTTTCCAGGCAATTATACTGAATAGTTTTGGTGGTGCCTTTCTTTTTTTTTAAGAGATCAGTCTTGAGGTATCCTAAAAATCAACTCTTTTTTAATGGGCATCTTCAGGTGACAAAAAAAAAAGCTCTAGTTATAAAAATAATCATTTGACTTTCAGATATACATTCCATGGACAGCTTTCTTCATTATGTGTCCAGGACAATATGCAAGAAATAGAGGGTTATCCTGGATAAACAGGTCTATATTTTGCATATTCACAACCATCCTCCAAATTCTTGGTATTATCTTGTGTTGTTGGTACTTATCTTCATGAGGATAGTAAACTGCCACAAGAAGTTCTAAATGGGTGAACTGAGAAGACTGGTTGAAGAAACATCAGACGGCTCCTACCCACAGGGATTTGTACAGACTAGAGTACCTGTGGACATCTGAGCTGAAGAAGTTGTTAATTGTAAATCTAGAAAAACCTCACCATTGCTCCTACTGATAGAAATCAGTCTTTTTCTGCATCTGCCTGTCTATCTGAAAAGCATCTGCTTTTCAGATGTTAAAGAAGCCTGGTTTCTGAGTTTGCTCCCTGACAATGAGGTGGCAGCAGAAACAAACCTGTGACATGTGAGATGAGCACATTCCATTGTTCTGATCCTTCAGCTCACATCCCTACATTTGAAGAAGAGAAAAGAGGGCAAATCTTTGTGCTGCTCCTCAGCTGGTCCCATTTACCATACAGCTCCTACTGCTTTAAACAAGTTTGCCACTGCAACTCACAGAGCGCCAGATTTGTACAGAAGACTCGAGAAGTGCAGGGTCTTCTTCATAATTTGCTCTTTGTCTGTTTTTTCTTTTCAGCTGGTCAGGATGAAAAGCAGCCTCATATGAATCTTCCTTTCTCACAGTCACTGGGTGCTCCTCCAGCCTGGCAGGGGGAAGCACACCTTTGGAGATTATTTACTCACAAACTGGTTTCATTGACATTTGTTCTTCTCAGTGACAGCATTCAGGAGACCTGTTGGCCACTTTGATAACAAATGAACATCAGCCCTTCTCTGTGGGTAGGGTCCTGTGCTCTGCAACCATCACCCCTAGCTCCTGTTGGTGCTGTTTGCTCAAGGATGTATAAAACTGGCAAACAACACTGCCAGAATATAGGAATATCCCTCCTGGTTTTCCTCTTGTTTCTTTTCCCATTACCCAGGCCTGCCCTTCTTTTATCTGATTTCTCTTCCTAAGCACAATCAGAAAAAAACTTCTGTGTGCTTCATGATTGACTTAGCCCATTGTTGTCCTCAGTTTTTAGATCCTTCATGGGGTGTTTAAGTAGTGCTCAGCATAAGGAGGGAAATTACCCTAGCAGTGTAATTCCTACCCTAAGGGAGACCACACACCTTATTCAGCCATCAGACTCATCCGACAGGTCTCCCTCCCAAAGAGAAGCTGACAGCTCCTCATGGGAAAGGCAATCTAAGGACAAGCTCAGTGCTCTCTAGGCTGGAGGACACTGGCAAGCCCATGCACACCTTTGTTGAAGCCTGTACTGTACTTCACCCACTGGCTCTGGTCAAGAGCACACCAGCTCTGTGCAGCTTATTGGGTCTCCAACAGAGTTAAATCTTTTCTTCCTGGGATTCCCAGGAACTGTTTCTGTCCTAGTGACATGCAAGGGCATTCATCTGGCTGCAACCCAGAGCAAAACATCACTTTTGGGAACATCTGTCAGTAGGTTCCAAAAACAAAGACATTTTGGGGTTTATTTATAAGGGCAGCAATTTTGATGAAGTTATCTATGCCTAATAAGTGGAAAGCAATTTTTAGACAATTTCTTTGTATTTTGGTAGGCTGAAGGGACAGAGGAATCTGTAGGTGAGAGGTCCTCACAGATTTTCAGTGAAAATCTGTGAAAAACAACTTAAAAAACATATACTGCAGTCTGTGCCTCAGTATCAATGCAATTTAGAGGAACAAGACCAAAACAGATCTAGTGAGGTGTGTTTGAAATCTTAAAAAAGGTTAGTGCTTTGAGGGCAGTGATACAAGGCTCCTAATTATGGCTTGAAACGTGCACATAAAAGCTCCCAGGTTACTGATTTCCTCAGCTCCTAAGTTGTTAATGTAAGTATTTAATTTATTGTCTAAACTGACCTCTCTACATTGACTCAGAGCTGTGTGATCTCTAGAATTTGCACTACTATCAGTAAAAGTTCTTTTTCTTCTCTTTCATGTGTGAAAGCAATGGAAATAGACTCATGGAAACCTGGACTGAGCCTTTTTGACACAGGTAAATATTTAAGCATCTAGTAACTAGTCTGGGAATAAGTGGTTTCCATCACACATGGGTAAAGTTAAATCTATTTATTCATCAGGCCCACAACACTGGTGATAACAATCTCGTTTTAAGAACTAATTACAGCATTTAAAATTGTAAATAAGGTATGTTGTTTACATCTTAGCAGATTATTCTGTGCTTTTGTCACTCTTGAGTTCCTGCTTAAAGCGGGAGCAGAAGAGAGGAGCTCTGGAAAGAGTTGACAGCTGCACTACAGGAAAGGGATTCCAGCTACTGGAATCCATTTGTAAATGAGAAGGTATTTTGGGAATGCCACAGCTGAGATCACAGCTTAGAGCTGCAATCAGTGCAGAACATGACAGATTATCCTGATGTCAATGTACTTGGGGAAGACATCCAGATAAGAAAAGGAGGGTTTGTGTCAAACGCAAAGAATAATGAACATCGTTGAAATTTTCTGACATTTTATCCTTCAAAAATGATAATATGGAGATAAGAATATTTTATGAGCACTGGTAAAGGAAAAAAACCCCTAAATTTGTAACAGGCTCTAGTAGCAACAAGACCAAGACTTGTGCAACCGTTAATCAGGAGCAGCCTCCAACTGCAGATTTAACAGCTCCCTTTCCTTGGGAACATTAAAGCAGACTGCACAAGGTACAGACCAATTAATGATGTGGTACTCTCCCTTTTCCCAGGGGCCTCACCATCCAGTACAAGGGATCTTTCCCACCACAGGTTTTGACGCTGGAGAGGGCTGTGCTGGTGGCCCTTGTAAAGGCCATTCCCTTGAATATTCTTCTTACTTCAAAGCCACTAGTGTGCTTATTCAGGAAAAGCTACAACACGAGGGCCAGGGTGCAGAGGGATATTTTGAGGCAGAAAATGACAGATTGCATTAAATGCAATGAAAGGTTGGGCATGGGGGAAGGGATGTTGTATTAATAGTTTCTCAGCAACCGAAGTGCCAGCATAGACTAGTGTGATAAATTCTGATGGATTCAGATTGTCACTTCAAAGGAGTGGTTTCTGGCGTGGATGTAATCACTGCTGCCTTACTCATATGAATGGGAGGTTTAATCAGTATGGACAGCTGTGACAATCAGTGAAGGGAACTTTAATTAGCATGGCTTAGACTGCCCATGCAGCAAGCTGAAATTCCCATGGTAGTACCAACAATAAATTGGACTGGCAGAACAGGGAGGCCCATAGAGACTGACCACCTCCCCAATTAGTTGGGGAAGAGTATTTGGTGGGTGACCTTATTGTTCCACTATGCACAAACCAGCCAGCTGACCCACAACCTTCAAGACCTGATAATTGCACTGGCAAATAAAAATGAAAAAAGCAGCACTGCCTACACATGAGTTTTTCATGCTGACAAAGCTAATGTCAGCTGTACGCCTGGGAAAAGAATATGGATTTTACAGGATGTAGATAAATGCATGAGGCAAATAGCTATCTATGAATAATCTTTCATATACAATTTAGTTGCTAAAATGGATGGCACATGTTAATTTCTAATTTCACTACAGTGTTAAATCCACCTACTTTCTGTTCTGCAAATAAGGCAAGGTGGGGGGAGAAATGCACATATGGGATAGCAAGCTGGCACATGTAAGATATGCAGTGTGCAGGCTGCAGGATGAAGCGTGGCTTTGGTCTGTTGCTGAGGAACTATTATGTGTCTGTGTAATTAAAGCCTGCACTGGAATATACACAGTCAGGAAGGCAGGCTGATGACTATTTCAGGTTTAAAAAAAACCCCACAATCATTTTCATCCATGTGGTTGACAAAGAGAGGCTGTGCATGACCAAGTCATGTTGCCTTTAACTTCCACATCAGATAAACTAACCATAGACTTGCATAAGACTTGCCTTCCTTCAAAGGCAGGTTTGGTTTGTGTCAGCAAGACCTTCAGGCCTGAGAGAGGTCAGAAATGTTTCCTGCAGCAGATATCACTGGATGGAACTGTTTGGTGTCACCCCTGTTCTACACTATTTTTCCTCAGTCAGGAACATGTGGCCAGCCTCAGGCAGTGCTGCCCCAGCACCACCACTCTACCTCTGCCTGCTGGTGTTTCCTCCATCCAAATGGGCTTGCATAGGCAAATACACAACACCAGGTGCACTCTTCCCTGTTCCCTGCCTGGGAGCTCATCCCCAGTGTGCAAGACAAGAGGCAGGAGCCAGCAGAGTGCTGGACAACAGCTCCAGCCATAAGAGATGAGGCCGGTCGGAGCCTGGCTTGCCAGCCTGCTTTTGAATGCATGCAGCCTGCTCTGGCACAAGAGGGCCAGCTCCACTAACTGTGGGAGAGGCTTTTCTGTCACAAGAGCCACTGCCAGGATGGGTGGAGAGTTCCTGCTCCCAGCCCAGAAAGTATCCTTTCCAAAGTCTAGGCAGGAGCACAGGGAAGCTCCAGGCACTGCAGGCACCACAGACACGGTGACAAAAAGCAGCACCAGCCCTGGGCCTCTCCTACCCTGGCCAGACATAGCAGGGAAATTCTCAAACAAAGCACACAAAGCAATCACCAGCTCTTGCTGTAAACAAAGTAGGGCAACTCTCTGTGCTCTTTGCCTGCTTCACTCACAGGCAGCCCCGTGGGCTCCCATACAAGGCCAAGCCCAGTGCTCCAGCCAGCTCCACGTCCTGGCTCTAGCAACAGGCAAAGCAGATGCCTGGGGACAAGCAAAGCAGAGGGAAATCACTGCTTTGGTGCTGCTGTTCGCAGCTGTTCTTTGGTCCCTGCAGCAGAAACTTTCTGCCCTGGCAGCTGAATTTCAAACTGAGAAGCCAAAGCCCCCCTGTCTGGTACGGATGCTGCCGTGTGCTGAAGCCTCCCTGCAGGGATCAGGTACCAATCAGGTCAGCGTTTCACCAGGTCTTGCACACTCAGACTTAATACAAACATGGCCCCTCATCCAAAACTATGGGCAGCTTTCAGCATGCAGCTAGAAGGACTCAAAAATGTTGTATTTGACAATTATGAGAGGTAAAATTTTAGACTTAACTGGAATAGAAATGGGAGTGGTTACAGAGGGGGATGGAGCTGGTACTTCCCTCCATTTTCTTCACAGTCCTCTGCCTTATTATGGCTTGGTCCTTAATACCTTCAGCAACCAGCTTTGGCTGTCACATCTTCTATCATATTTTGGTGGTGACCTTGCCTGATGGCCCTTTACAAACACTGATGCTCTCATGCTTGGCTTGCTCATGGCTGGCTGCTGTGGAGAGACAAACTCTGTGGTACCTAGTAATTTCTCATACTTTTCTTTATAGAGCTCACACTTTCTAAAATTACCTTTTCACTGTGTCTCTGAAGTCAGTAATCTTTCCTCAACTTACTTGGTGATGAAGATTTAAGGCAGTCTTCCTCCTAGTTTTCTTTAAAAATCTAACATGCCATTTACAAAAATAATAAGCTGTTCTGCTGTTCTTTTAGACTAACAGCTTTCTTGGTGTGTGTTCAGTTGTAGCTTGTCTGATCATTGCTGTCTCTTTTGAGGATTATCCCAGCTAAATCCCCTTAATCTTGTCATGCTTTACTGAAAAGACACAGTTCTTTGCCCGTGCTTGGAAGGGAGATGCTGGACTGTAGAAGTCTTGACAGACATTCAAGTCATGAGTGAAGTTCAGCATTTTTAGACCTAATGCCAGCCTGATGGTGTCCTGAGTCAGTACCTTTCACAAGGATATCAGCTCATCTTTTCAAGGCTGCTACCACCCAAATACTTCACTAGAATCCACTGGTGACCCATGAGACTTTCCCTTTACTTAACCATAGCTCTGTACCCTGTTTCTTTTGTGCTTTGCAAAATAACCCAGACTTGTGGGGGCACCTGAGGAACTGTGGCTTGCTGTAATGAGCTGGAGTCAGCTGCTGCCTGTGCTCTCCTCTCCAGACAGTAAACAACAAGATAAATCTGTGGCTTATCCTCTTCAGACATTGTGCAGCTCTTTGTAAAGCACAGTGGGCCAGTGGGGTGGCAGGGCTGGTTTTCAGGAGAAGATTGCTGGGAGTCACCATCCCACACCGTGGCCACCAGCCACGCTCAGCTCCTGAGGAGCCCACTACTTGTGCATGATGCTCCCAAGCCCTTGCAGTTAGGGAACTGACTCCCAAAGGGGAACACCTCAAAGCAGGTGCTAGGAGAGATTTTGGTGGCATTTCTAGAAATGTCTCTGCTCTTGTTTTACCTCAACAGTGATGCAGATGAAAAAAGGTAAGCTCCAAGGATGTCCTCCCCATTCCCATTTCCCTCCCACATCAATCCTCAGGCCAGGGGTTCTCTGCAGTGATCCTATACCCCATTTCCTTAAAGAGCAAGGGCAGCTACCAAGCACATACTGATAGAGCCTTTCCTTTCTCTGTTTAGGCTTCAGTTCAAAGGAAGAATTGAATCCAAAGCCGCTGGAATCCATCTCCCAGGGGAATCAGAGTATGTACTTCAGAATTAACTTTATAATTAAGCAACATTATTGATTACATATTGCTAGAATGCATTCAAATTAAATAGCAAAAGGTAAGTTTTCAAGAAAGCCTAAGAAAATCCAGGGGCACATTTTTCCCTTGCAGAGAAAAAGTGAGTACTCTCTGCTGACCCCTCATACACAGAACTGGCTTTTGCTTCTACAGGGAAGGAAATAGCCAAAATTTAGCTTACCTGGGCAGTGAGATGGTGGCTGCTCCCTACCACCACTTCCCAGGCAGTATCAGCTCCAGGCTCCCAGCAGAACTTCTTCACTCAGGTACTTTGGAGGCAGAGGACAGCAACCCAGCGTGCTGCAGAGCAGGCTCCCATGGCTATCCTGTGTGAAGGCACCTTCCCACAGCAGTGGGTGGGAGGGAAAGAAAGCACCTGAGAAAGGTCCCCAATGCCTGCCACAGCCAGGAGGGAGAGGATGCAGAGGGATCATCAAAGACCACCCAAGTTCAGAGAAGAAAATGCAGGTTCCCCTACTCTGAAATCTTCTACAGCCCATTAAAAAGGCAGATTTATCCATTATTCCATCTTTAGTTGAGGCCCAAAGTAGCGCAAGAAAGAGAAAGCAAGTTCTTAGTGGAGAGATGGGGTTGCCTGCAACCTCTTCATTAGAAGCCACCCCCAAGAGAAGGTTCACCCTTTCAACAGTGCCTGGGTCCTCTCTTGCCCATCTTTGGGCAGCTGAACACTATCTGGACTCTTTACAGTAACTACTGAACCAAATGTCTGTGTATTTCCAGGCATTTCTCTTAATATTTGAAAAATTATTTTCCCTATCAAAGATGTCAAATACACCTGAAACTGATACAGAAATAAGGGAAAGAAGAAAAAGGGAAGGCTTTTCCCTATAGACCCCATTGCCCTGCAGAAAAGCAGAGCTTGTTGCAGTGGAGGCACCAGCAAGGACAGCTGTGTTTCCAGCAGTTAAACTGAAATAAGTCACACCAGAAACAAAATTGTCATCCCACTGATATCTCTAGGACCATAAAAGTCCTGTTTCAGATCCTTCCTCCCTGCAAATCAGAACATGCTCACCTTCCTATGAAGCACCCTAGCCTGTGCTCTTGCAGTGTCCCTCTCATGTCCCAGCACTGAATCGGAATCCTCCCCAGAAACCAAGTCTGTCTGTAAGTGTATGTAAATCCTTGCCTCCCCAGACCCTGCTGGCTAACAAACTGCCCACTTCCCACATATAGATCTCATGAACTAGCTCCCTTTGAAGGACAAGAAATTCAGGAAAACTTGGCTGTTAATTGAGGTATTTGTTGTGGGTTCCCGACCTTGCCTCACGATGTGCTGCGAGCGGACTCGGTTCTCAGTCACGCTCCTGTAATTCAGCATTATTAGAATTACAAAAAAGAGACAGCTATGGGAGAAAAAATTGAAGGTAATGAGATGGGAGGCAGTTGCATAAGCCACTAAGAACAATTGGTGCTTTGTAGCCTTCGGGCTACCTAATGATTAAAACACAGTAGTTTGAACAGTCTGATTGGTAGGAGGCATCATCAGAGGGAAATCAAGAGATGGGGATGACCCAGATGCTGGAGGGGGAAAACGTTAATTAGCGCTCTAGTTAAGCCAAATTTTGATCCCGCTCCGGTTGCAGACCAAAGTAGAATGTTTCACCACTAACTTAGAGAAATGTGAAAGCAGGTTGGCAGAGATGAAGATCGCATTTGCAGCACAAAGATGAGGTTCACCTGTGTAATTAAAGGGAAGAGTTTGTTTGGGTACAGGCATACCTTTTATAGAACATTTCTTTCAGCCCAGAGAGGAAACACACACAGCACACTGCTGCTGCTGCACACACGGGTACAAGGCTACAACAAAAGAACAGCCCCCATTCAGTCGGAACATCCCAAGCAAAATCACCATCCTTGATGTTAGCTCCAGCCCAGAAGGAAACTGATGAACAATTCTCATTCAGAAGTGCAGAGCTTCCAGGATTGTAGTCAGTAATCCTGGATTGCAATCACTTTGAAGAGACCCCACAGTGTCAGACACATCCCAGGCATCACACATTTCAGGAACTTCCCTCCTTTCTGAGACACATTAACACAGTAACTGTTCCTGTTATGTCTATTACATCAATTAAATCCACAAGAGTGTCACCAAGGAAATGCCCATAGTTTGTGCTGTGCAGGTGCCCAGACCACAAAATCCAAAAACCATGGCTGGTTTTACAAACTCCCATCACCTCGGGGCTGCAAATAAAGTGTGCTGAGCCCAAGACATGGCTCTGAAGGCACAGGATATACAAGTCAGCTTCCTCCTGAGGGGCTGACCTCCCTGACCCCCAAAATGCAGTGCTCCCAGACTGACTCCTGTAAAAAGATTCTTGCCCTTTTGTCACACAGTCAAGCTTAGATGTTGTATGGGACAAAGTCATGCCAAGAACTGTGTTTACCAACCAGCAGGACAGACTTGAGCTGCCAAATGTGACTTGTCCTTGTCAAAGGCGTTTTTGTAGAGTTTACACAGCAGGACAAGTCACTGGATGCAGAGTTTTTAGGCCTTTGCTGCTTGCAAAAAGCACAGCAATCAGAAAGCACTAAAAATACTTTCGGTGTTTCTTTATCTCTCCTCAGATTGCAAGGTTGATTTGTCCTTCTTAATGGATGGGAGCTGGAGTATTGGCAAACGCCGCTTTCAGCTCCAGAAGCGGTTCCTTGGTAATGTGGCTCAAGCCCTTGGCATCGGCAGTGCAGGTCCTCTGATGGGCATTGTTCAGTATGGGTAAGAACTTCCCACACATTCCCATTGCCACAGGACATGACTGCACACTCTGGCAGCTGTAGCTCTGGAGCATTCACATTCTCTAAAAAAAATACCTTCACCCAGGATTTTTCTCCTGGGAAGCTGAGAAGCCTCAGAGAAAAGGAAAACAATTCTTATCTCATTTGCTTCTCCTGTGTTGTACTCATGTGGAATGTGTTTGGAGATTGTTTACCCACAGGTGATATTGTTTCATTGAAATCTGGTGTGAGCTGTTTTGACTCTTTGGCCAATCAGTGCCAAGCAGTGTTGAGACTCTGGAAAGAGTCACAAGATTTCACTGTTATCTTTTTAGCATTCTGTAAGTATCCTTTCTGTATTCTTTAGTACAGTACAGTATTATTTAATATAATATAGTATCATAAAGTAATAAATCAGCCTGCTGAGAACATGGAGTCAGATGCATCATTCCTGCCTTCGTCAGGACATTTACCAACAAATACAATACATCTCTAAGCTCCTATGTGCTAAAGGCCTCACTCCAGCTTGCACTCAGGATCCAGGTAGCACAGATCAGCCCTGTGGCTTTTGTGTTGTATGTGAAGCAAAACACTGACATTTGCTCTAATTTCTCCTTTTAGGGATGACCCTTCCACAGAATTTAACTTAAAAACTTATGCCAACTCCAAGGATCTAAGGAATGCCATTGAGAAAATACAACAGAAAGGGGGACTTTCCAATGTTGGTAGGTGATGGGGCTGCTTGCACTTCCTCTGCTCAGGGAGGGCTTCAGAGCCTGGGCTATAGCAAGCCCACACCTCACAGGACACAGAGGCTGGGGCCAAACAGTGCTTAGTGCTGAGGCCAGGCTGGTGAGGGAACACTGCTCCCACCACGACCTGCATGTGTTGATCCCAGGGCCTGCAAATCCATCACAAATTGAAAGAACATACGGGCAGTTCCCATCAGCACTTTGGGGATCCTTGATAACCCAGCTTATCACTCCCAGCCTCTCTGGGGCATACAGAGGGGGTTCAGTGCAGGAGGGCTCAGGAAGCACTGGCACCAGTAGCAGTGGTCTCCCTTCCTGCTCACACAGCCACAGAAACTGCTTTCCCCAGCTCTCTGCAGTCTTCAACACTTGAGTCAGCTCTCTGCCTACTATTTCATGGGATATTATCAGATGGAGTGCTTCCAGATCTGTAACTCCTCCTCAACTCCTCTTCTATTGCAGGGAAGGCACTTTCATTTGTTAACAAAAACTTCTTTCTGGATGCTAATGGAAACCGAGGTGGAGCACCTAACGTGGTTGTAGTGATGGTGGATGGGTGGCCAACCGACCGAGTGGAAGAGGCCTCCAGGCTGGCCAGAGAATCAGGGATCAACATTTTCTTTGTCACTGTTGAAGCAGCTGCTCAAAGTGAAAAGCAGAATGTTGTTGAACCAAACTTTGTGGACAAGGTAATTTGTGGACAAGGTAACTTGTGAGTCTGACCAGGACTGAGTCTGAGCATTTGACCAGGCTGAGTCTAACTAAACTTTCCAACCTACTTTATTCAGGGCATTTCCCTTTCCTTCTTATCACTTACGGTTATTTCTTCTCCTTCTTGTACATACTGTCTTGAGTTTTTCCGTACAAAAACCAGGCAGTAATGCTGAGGTCAGAAAGGGGATGAAGTCAGTAAAGTTCTGGTTTGAGGTACATCATCAAGCAAATGGCTTTTGACCAACTAAACCTTAGCACACACCTGCAGTTGTACTGAGATGAGCGGCTTTCCAAACACTCAGTATTTGGAAAATGACAAAGTACAATCACAGCTTGAGCAATTTGGAATTGCTTTTTACACAAACCTCTTGCTGTGCATCTCCCACTAGGGAAAGGGTGAGGAGACCTGTCAACCAAATGTCAATGTTGCATTTACAAACAGGTCCCACACAAGCAAAGGTTGGCACAGTCCCAACATAAGCACATCCTAGTTTTTCAGCTATACTGGGTAACTCAAACATTCTCTTTTCACTGTTGATGAAGGCTATTTTTCAGTTACTTGTTTCTGCTATTATGGACTTCATGGTAGCACTTGGAAAAAGGGTAAATCTCTGCCATATGCAGCAAAAAAACCAGAATGGAAGCTTTGATTGATTTGTATTTGGCACCAACTAGCTGTCTGATAACAGTGCTCCAGAACAAGCTGGTACCCAGTTAGGGCAGGAGATACCTGCCAAGTGGCAGACCAGGCTGGGCCTAGGAAACAGGGTTAAGTTATCTGGTACTTCTAGAAAACATATTCCCATCTGAGCTGGTTTGCTCTGCCATGAAATAATCTCCCATGAGTTTCAGAGCTGCTCCAAAGAGCTTCACTGTCTCTGGTCAACATATAATTGGATTGTAGTCTCATTTGCATTTAATGTTTTTTAAAGAACAAAGCTACAGCAAATCTCTGCAAACCTGCCAGGGACATTGCAGAAGTGAGACTAGAGTGGGCTCAGAGCAGCAAGGTAAGGATGGAATGGTGGCTTGATATTGCTGCATCATAACATTAAAATAGAAGTGAGATAGTAAGAAGAGCAAATGAGAGCAGGACACCATGAGGAACCCACACTGGAGGAAACTGTAACTCCCTTGGAGCTGTTAGCCTTTATGCAAGTCAAGACCAGGGCCTTGATCTTTTAAAACAGTCAGATACACACACCATCACAAAGCTGATAGATAAAGCCTGGCATAACAAAATATTCTCACCCGAAAACTGAGGAATTGGCCTTTAAGAAGCACTAAAGCCAAAAACAATTTGATTCAGCCTGTTTGCATCACTCTCCTCCTTGCCCCACCCTTCCCTTCCTCCACCCTTTGACTTTTCCCATGTCCTCTTCTGTGCCAGCCCTGCTTCCTACCCACACTCACCTGACTGACTCCCACTAACCCTATAGAAGCTGCCCACAGATCTGGCCCTTATGAGTATTTACATATAAAAGTTAATAGGTTTGGTTTTGGTTTTTTTACTATTTGGCTCCTCAGCTTAAGCCCCAGTTTTCACTTCAAAGTAGTAGGGTTTGTCAGCAAGCAAAACTTTCTTTCTTGTCCTGAATGATGGGAGCTGAAGTTGCTACCTGGCAAACACACTGTAATGTCCATGGGAGCCACGCTAACAGCAGCTCTGTGATTTGGATGTTTTTCCCACAAACAGTGTGACTCGCATAAAAAAGCCTGACAGGTGGCAAACTTGCTTATTCAGTTTTTTCACTACTATAATATCAGCTCCATCCCACAGTTTAAAAAAAAAGGCAGGAAAAACTGTCACATTACACAAGTATCTGTGATGTTACACTGACATCATTTCCCAGGGAAGCAGATGGTGATTGCAGGAAAGGCCATTTCAGACTCCAGCACTGCTCTTTCCAGGAGCCTATATTTACAATTTAGCTACATCCCCTAGCAGGAACAGGCAGACTGAATTTCCATTGCATTTATCCTCATGTTGCCTCGCAGGCAGTGTGCAGGACAAGCGGTTTCTATTCCATCAACGTGCCCAGCTGGTTCAGCCTGCACAAGGTGGTGCAGCCCCTGGTGAAGCGGGTGTGCGACACCGAGCGCCTGGCTTGCAGCAAGACGTGCCTCAACGCCGCCAACATCGGCTTCGTCATCGACGGCTCCAGCAGCGTCGGCACCGGCAACTTCCGCACGGTTCTGCAGTTCGTGGCCAACATCAGCAAGGAGTTCGAGATTTCGGACACCGACACGCGCATTGGGGCCGTGCAGTACACCTACGAGCAGAGGCTGGAGTTCAGCTTTGACAAGTACAGCACGAAGCAGGACGTGCTGAATGCCATCAAAAGGATCAGCTACTGGAGCGGGGGCACCAGCACGGGAGCAGCCATCAGCTACGCCTCGGAGCAGCTGTTCAGCAAGTCCAAACCCAACAAAAGGAAGATCATGATTCTCATCACAGATGGCAGGTCTTACGATGATGTCAGCGTGCCAGCCATGGCTGCTCACCAAAATGGTAAGGTCTTCTATCACTGCCTGCTCTCCCCCCATGCCTCAGCACTTATCCAGGTCAGATAAATGCAGCTTGCTATAATTTGAAGGCACTGGATGAAACCTTATGAAGCAAGAGTAGTACTTTTCTCTGGGCTCCCACTGAGCTCCAACAAGATCAGCATCTGTTTAAGAGCTGAATAAGGAACTTCATAAAAAAAAACCAACTTATAAATCATCACAAATGCAGCAATGTCTAGGAGATCTCAAACTACATTGCAGTATTGGTCTTAAATTAGATTTACCGCAATGAAAACTTTAATGCTTTTTCTAAACTTTGGGTTTCTTTCCAGGAGTCATCGCTTATTCCATTGGAGTTGCTTGGGCAGCCCCAGATGAACTGGAAGCCATTGCATCAGACCCCGCTAAAGAGCATTCCTTCTTTGTGGATGACTTTGACAACCTCTACCGCTACGTTAATCAGCTCATCCAAAACATTTGCACAGAATTTAATTCCCAGCCACGGAACTGATTGACTCCAGTAAGGCAGGACCCTTGGGTGCTGTGCTGAAGGCATGACAAGTGCCACAGAAATAATGCCAGTCCTCAGTTCAAGAAACACTGGAGGTGTTTCCCTCTGGTACTTTCCAGTCAGCAAGGTTGATTGCAGCTCTGTCCCTGTGCATGATAATGCTCGTGTAGACTGTTGATTTTTTTTTTTTATTGTGGGCATCAGAAACTCTGATTTAGATGGACAGCAGAAGAGGCAGTGAACATGGAGGAAATAACTGCAGCTGTTTGAAGAGCTGCTTCCAGCACAGAGCCCCAGTTTGCTCAATTCTCACCTTTGGACACACACAGGTTCCTTAGAAGTGCCACCTGCTCCCTGAAGTGACCAGGCCCCTTCAGGGAGTGGCCAAGCTGCTGAGCTGCTGTGGTAGAAACACCTCATGTGGCACTGCCCACCAGATGACACACAGATCAGGGCTCAAATACCAGATGGAGGGGTAACACAACTTGAGTACCTCCTTAAAAGCAGGTATTCTGTCCACACTGCTGTCTTGTCAGTAAGTTAAGCTTCAGCTAGTGTCAACTCAAGCACTGGGACTTATCCAAACCCGGAGAAACTGGAAAGCAAGAAAGAGGAAAGGTTCAAACCCCAGGACCCTACAACTCTGCCTCCTTTACAACCCTACAACCCCAATAAAGCCCCAGATCCACAGGGCAGCCAACATGCAGGAACTGGAATCTAGTCTCCCACAACACTGCATTAATTAATTGACCTTGAGAAGTGTCTGTCCCCTCAACTTCTTCCTCCACTCTTGGATGGTTCAAGGCCTGCAGGACCACAGGAGTGTTGCCAGGACGCAGGAGACTCTGAGAAAAACTGTGGGTTTAAGCTGCTTACAGTCACTAAAGCATTTAAGACCCATCACTCTGTCATTAAACCAACACTCAGAAGTGCAGTCTCAGTGTCAGGAGAGCTATTCAGGAACAATTAACAGGATTTAAGAGGGAGTTATCTGAAGTTCTGTATTGTACACTGGGAAAAGCAGAATTTCAAGCATTTAGATACTCTCCCTCAAATTTAGGACCGGCTTTTCTTTTATGGACTGATTTCAAAATATACCTATTACAGCCCTGGATCTGTCAGAACACACAGTGGTTTCTTAAGTGAAGAACTACCCATGTCACTAGTCAGTGCAGGAGGAGGGACACACTAGGAGGACCAAAAAAACTCCACTCTATTTAGGAAGCAGCAGTTGCCGGTTATGTTCCATCCAGTATCATTAAAGAAAACACATTCATTAAGCAAAGTTATCAAAGGAGCCAATAAAAACATGAGTGTTCACACTCCTTAAAGCAATCAAAGCCATGCTGTGCCAGGCTTGTGGAACTAACAGGAAATGGAAAGAAATTAAAACTCAGATTTGCCATATTACTTGCAAATCAGGCTCTTAAAAGCATTTATAGTTTTAATAACCATGAGCCAAGATATTTATTAGCCACATAAATTCTAATTGAATTGCCATAGGGAAGCTCATTTTATCAGCAAAAGTAGCACTATTTTTTAAATCATTATGTTTGGAAATATGACTAAAGTAGCTTATAACCTGTCAACTAAGTAAGCACAACACAAATTAATGAAAACAGCAGATTTTGCATGATCCCCCTGGTGGGGTAACATAAGCCAGGCTGGGGTCCTCTCAAGAGGTTATCAAAACCAATTTTGGATGAAGCAGTGGTTTTACACAGTGAAAGTTCATCACTTCCCATTAGAAGAAACATTAAGTTCCAGCTTTAACTGAGTATCATAAATTCAACCATTCTAGCCAGACTGAAAGCGCAGGACACTGTCAGCATCCACAAATATATTTGTATGCAGAGTTTTTACCACTAAGCTCAGCTACTGCACTTCACAGCAATATCTTTTGGCTTGAAAAAATTATTAAGGACAGAGAGCTAGGCATGAGGCATGAGCAGAGCAACTCCTGATATCCCCCATCTCCTGACTCAGCTCCTCACTACCCTTCTGCTGAACACATCTTTCTCTGTCAACAGGGGACATTACATGGCCTGGACAAAACTCAAACCCATTACCTGAATTTACTGGGGACTTCAGTTTAGACACCAGATTTGTTGTCTAAAAACCTGTTTGTTTTGGGGCCTGATTTGGGGCTGTCTGAGAAAAAGGCCTTAATCCTAACTTACAGTTACCCTTAATACTGTGGTTTAATTTTTAATGCAGCAGCTCACCACCACATATTGTTCTCCATACTGAATGTACTCTTGCAGCACCGAAGATTGGTACCCTGCAGAGACTCCCCAATGCTTCACTTGTGCAGTGGTGGCCGAGACATTGGGAGCAGCTAGAGCACACGTGCTCTTTAGGATGTGCTAAGGGATATATGCATATGGGACATAATTTTTTCCTAAAGCTTAAAGTTTAAGCAGTGACATTAAGCTTTCAAATGCTTTTTCAGAGGAAAGCTGCACAGCTATCTTTTGTCAAGCATTTATAAGGTTTCAGGGTTTGTTGTTCAGATGGTTTATCTTAAGTTTACAGAACAACTATGGTGCTTGTTTCTCAATCTGCATTTTTATTTACTTCTTGGGACTATCTTGAAATTGTCAATACTCAAACTGTGAAAGTGGTTTAATCCAACTCTCATCTAAACATAGATGTCCTATTCATAAGCACCGTAAACTTAGGTGGAAGTCTCAAAATTTTGAACACACCCTTCCATGCGCTCACAGAACACACTCCTCCTCACCTTTACTTTTCATAGCACTCAAATCACTTGCTGCCTACTAAAGTCTCTAAATACTGTTTGATTAAAAAAACAAGTTACCTTACATATATAGATAAATGTTTAAAGGGGTATATTTGTTTGAAGAAAGCAGAACTCCTTCTGTAACATATGCAAGCTATTTTGAGCTTATCAACATAAGTTGCTATATCTTTTGCAATAAAATTGTCTTAAAGGCACATGCAGTGCATGTCATCTCATATGGGGTTAAAAAATAAACAGCAAATGCAGCCCATGACATTTTAGTTTCTGAAACACAACTGAGGTTATTACTACATTATGGCAGACTTAGCAAGGTTGGCAAAGCCCTGAGTGCTTCAGTGTTGTCCTTTTACATGCTCAGATGAAAAAGATCCTTAGAGTGAGCTACCACAAAATTACCTGTCAGAGGCATCAGTCAACTGAAGCAGAGCCTAATGACTGAAGGGCATCAAAATTATATGTACTTTTCAAGGTCTGCAAGATCATGTCTTATTTGGAATCAGACTTCCTTTGGAAGCTGAAAAAATATGACAGTGGCTTTACACAATTTCTAGATGTGGGACTGAGTCAAAGGAGGATCTACATGTCGAGTCACTTGATGCTGGGCCCCTTAGTTTCAGGTGTCTGACCAGCTCAGTGGAACCTGCTGTCTGGCAAGGCATGCCCGAGAGAAGAGATGGGAGCTGTCTGAACTAGTCACTGCATGCACATTCTAGAGAATGTTGTCTGATCACCCTCTCCCTAAGAAATAAGCTCCTTTGCACTCAGAGTTGGCTGGTGGCTTATCAGTGCTCAGCAACCACAGTGCAGAACACCCACCTGGAAATACCTACTGATGTCCATGCTCTGGAAGCCTTGGCAGAGCTCACTTGCAGCATCTCCTGCCAACTCCAGCATTAGCCAGTCCACCAAATTCAATTAAGCATTCAGCCATCTCTTCAGAGAGAAGTATCTCAAATTTCTGTCTCCCCAGAGCAGGACACAGCATTTCTGTTGTCACTGTGCCACCCTGCACAGAAGGCATCACCCCCAGTGTGCACCTCCTGCTCCTCAGCTGCTGCTTTGCTGGTTTGGCAAGAGGAGAGTTTCTCCATGGCTGCTGCCAACAGGGGGGCAGACAAGCTTCCCCTTCCTCCTCACACCCATTCCCCCATGGCTCTCCAGCACACAAGGGGAACTATACCAGTAATCAGGAAAAGCTCTGGAGTTCAGCATCCAGCCCGGATCAACCCAATCTAAATACATTTATGGATTCAACACCCTACCCGTAACCCCACAGGAAATTCATCCACATTATCTACTTAGAAAGCCAAAGCAAGCAGTAGGTAGTATCAGAAACATTACCTAGACACCAAATTAAAGTCACTTTTCTGTGGTATACATACCTTAAATTACTTCATGGTTGAACAAAGCCACTATTATTCTGCTAGCTATTTTTCTCTGTCCATGAGCAACATTATAGAAGCAACTTGATGCCTTTTCTTTTCCATTCCCATCTCATTTCAAGACATCTTCGACACAATATCAGGCCATTTACATTTGCTGAGTCACCTACATACTGAAAACATTACAAATGTACATCTATGCAGCTGAACACTTCAAATTCCTCAAAAGAATCATTTTTCCTTGTTAAACTGGGGGAGGAAGGGGGATGAGGGTTTTAGCACTGCATCAGCAACACTGCTCACAATCAACTGTGTCAGTCTTACTGAAAGGCAAGAAACATGTTATTTTCCTTAACACCAGTTTAACCCATTCTCTGATTTTAGTGAGAATTCTGATAGTGCAGTTCAAGAATTCCAGCACTCGTAGAAATTACTTCTTTTTAAGCACAAGAAATTGTAGAAGTTCCACTGTATCATCAAATATACTCACTTTTCTCACATGCAAATCACCATGGGGCCATGTCACAGGCAAACCCATAAGCATGTTAAGAATGCCTCCCCTATGTGAGGGTCACTCATGTTATTCACTGAATCTTCTTTCCCCCCACCTCAGGAATCTTCTAGAGGCATTCACACATGTGTGAATGAGATTGTACTGCCAATTCAAAAAGCGATTCCTCCTTTCCTATGAGGCAGGAAGACGAGTAGGACCAAATCAGGCTATTTTATACCAACCAAGAAAAGATGAGAACTTCACTTACCCACCTACAAGCTCATTAAAAACAGGATGGGCTCACTGACAACAACTTGTTCTGCGCAGGTCTGTGTAGGTTCTCGTGCCACCCGCTCACAGTGCTGTTCTGAGCACCTTCCTGCAGAGACACAGCTGCCATCTGTGATTGTGCTTTGCTTTCCCTCATCCTCTCCCCAAGGGCAGAACCACGCGTTTATTTTTGCACTGAATGAACGCTGTCCTCGGGAAGAGCCACGTGTCTGGCTGTGAACAAGGCCTGCTGACAGCCCAGCTCCTGCAGAACTGCACCCCCTCCGCATGTCTGCTCACCCCACATTCACCCCCACACAGGCACCACGTGCCCCGGCACATGGAAGGATGTGGGGTGTCAACAGAGCCAAGCTGGCGCAGCAGTACGAAACCAAGACATACGGAGAACAGAAAAACCAAGGCACTCCTGTGAACACGCTGCACAGTTCAGCAGGAATTTCACATGGAGTTACCTCAAGCCGCTCCAAACAAGTCTACTTGTCTTCCTCTTAATGCACTTCCCCCTCCTAGCACTCACTCCAAAACCACAGGTATCTTGTGATAAAATGCAGAATCATGAACACAATGCAAAATGTTGAAAAATAGTATTTATTAGCACCCAATTTACATAATTATATGGTACAAATGACACTTGCTGCTGCAACATTAAATAAAGCTGCTCTTAAAAACCATTGCTTATTTCTGGAAGTCCGTGTGATTTTGCTCAGCACAGAATGCGGGTACAGTACACAGATACCCCACTTCACTACTGCCATACCAACACAAATACCTGCATGGTTACCTCAATGGGGTCTCATTTTAAACGGCACACTAACATAAGCAGATCTATATAATTTTAAATGACAAAATATTTATTTGACTTATTCAGGCAAGTGAATGTAGCTTTAAATATAACCTATCCAAGAAGTTTCACAAAATATGAATTGCAGTGAAAAAGAGAAAATTCAGGGCTGCACTTGAGAAGCTCAAAATTACACTGGCGTATTTCAAAATAATCTCCCTCTGAATTTTCTATCTTTGCCATTTAGATATTTATCCAGCATTTTAAACTACTGAGTTTTAGTAAGAAGTTTAATACTAAGTTTCTGAATAAGCATTTCCATTTAAAGCAAAAATTTATATTTTTAATAATAAACGCTAAACAAATCTTTGGAGATTGAATCACTTTCCTTTTTCTCATGTCCCATGATTAATAAGCCTTTTCAAAATCATGAAATATATTACATTTATGGATGCTTACTCCCAAGAAAACTATTTCCTTCATAAATTAGAAAACAGAATTTCTCACTCAAAATAACATTCACTTTTGTACAACAGTTGCATTTAAACAAGGTAATTTTGGTGGTACTGCAATTCTGACACAGCCTTGTACTGAGCCATACACAAAAAACTGACAAGTGGACTATTACTCAACAAGTAGGTACTTCTCATTTGGATCCAAAATTCTGCAAGACACTTGAAGTCCAACATTGTTTCAAAGTAGTCATTCAAAACTGGTGTATAAAATCATAACCTATCCACAGTTCTGAAGAGGAATCTTAATTTCCTTAAGCTGTTTGTATACCAGCCACAGTAGCCTTTTCATATCAACAATCTGCAATGGAAGTGACCCAAAACAGAAGGGAAGCCACTGAAATTACTAAGATGTTAGTGGTTATTGCCTATAGTAATTTCTCCTAAAGAGAGCTGTCAGGTATCTCTAAGTTCTAGCAGAAAAGAAAAAAAGTGTATTAATATAAGCAACAACAACAACAAAAATTCTAAGCTACAGTCCATATGGCAAAAAAGTTTGTCTTTTTCAACCTGACAGTTAACTGAAGATAATTATGCAAAATACAATGCAAAGCTGACATATGTCAACAGAGAACCTTACAGCAACAAAAGTCATCTCATCATGGAGCTCCTTCAACAAGTTTTTTCAGATGCACTATTCAAGGAAAACATAGCACAAGACCGCTTTTCAGTTTGCCTGGACTATAAAGGTACAAGAAATCATTAGCTAGCATGCTCAGTTTGCATTTCCAAAAGAAGTGCTAACACATATGAGACAGTTTTCAAAACTGATGCACATTTGCAAATGTTCAACTTCAAGGAAACAATTCTAGGAGCCATATACCTGAAAACAAGCTACATTCGAAAGCACTGTATCTTGATGATAGGAACCATAAAAAAATAAATTCTTAATGGAAAAATATTAGCTTGAAGTCCATCATTTATCCCTTATACAATGTTTTTGGCTGTTTTTCACAAGTAATCCAAAAATAATGACAATATTTGGCTTGGCAATAAGTTTTCCTTTCCCTTTCAATCCAGCTGTATAAATCTTTTCCCAACACCAGAGTCTAATACTCTGGTGTGAGGACCAAGGGTTACTCAAAATAGGCAGGAAGTAATTTTGGGAGCCTGCAATTCAAACTTAAGGGAACAAAAGAAGGCTGGCCTGGAGGACCACGTCAGTACAAGGCTTTGAGCAGTTTAGAAACACATACACGGGGTATGGTTTAAACACTGGTGTGACCTCCCAGGATCACAGCATGGCTTGGCAGCATGAGCAGGGCAAAAGCAGTCTAACACTCAATACCACAATCTACACTTAGGCAGGAAGAAGTTGGGCTAAGAATATAACATTGTTAAATGCCTTTTTAGCTTAGCCATAGTTTGGATTTTGTAGTCTAACAACAAGTCTCTCCTGACAACAAACCAGATGAGCTCCAGAAATTCAACTGGATTTATGCCTTCTGTAGTGGAATCCACGTTCTCAAAAATATCTTAAATGATACAGCAATTCATAAGCTTTCACAACTGAGTGCAGAGCAGCAAAACCAACTCAGAAGGTAGGCTAAGAGATAACACACCAAAATTAAATAAACTGCGTGTAAGGAGGTGCAAATCAGCCTTTTGGTGGTGAGAGGGCTGGGCTGAAGCTGAAGCTTCAACCACCCTTAAAAAAACCACTCCAAGAGAAAAATCAGAAGTCCTTCATGACATCCTGCAGTAAGTGCTCACTGCAGATGAGATTTTAAGATTCTCAGAAAATGTATCCTAAAGGGAAATTTAAGTGGGAAGATAAAAAGCACATATCAAAAGGATAGATAACCTGCACAGGTATGTTCATTAGCACAGGCACAGACATTTTTTTTAAAGGCCACACTTCCAATCATCCTCCCTCCTAGGAACATTGCCACCAGCTAAACAAGAGTGTTTGCCGGAACCAGGACTATTTAAACAAGAGTCATCCTACTCCTTCCCCACCCTCCCCAGGAGTTTGTTCATTTGCTCTGCTGTATTTAGCACTATATTTTACAATACGGCCTATTTTTTTTAAACACCCTGACATAATTGGATGGACAAACACTGCTGTCCATCAGTTTCTCTGCTGCTCAGTAGGAATGTGGCAGAGGTTTTCAGTGGCAGTTTACAGGCAAATCATTTCCATAACTGTGTATCCAAGCTTACAGAAAGTGATGATGAAAGGGTCAAGACTGTTCACCTGTTGTCACCCTCTTCAACTAAACATGTTATCAGGTTCACATAAAATATTCTCAACACCTTCATGTCCTTATGGAAAAAAGGAGCTTCCTGAAACATCTGAGCATTTTTTTCAAGGAAATCTTTCCATCCTCTCAGCCACTCAATAGTAACAACTATGCTAAGTATCTCTACGATGCTCATGAACAGCAGCTGCCCAAGAAAACTTGTATTGCCATGTCAAAGATTGCCACATGTTATACAAATCAATTTACCACATGGAAGAGGTTAACTATTGCATTCTGATTTCTTCATTTCTCACAGTGTAGTCCAAACCAACTTCCACTAAACAGCCAGAAATTTCAGCACAGGAAAACCACAATGGCTACTTTTTCTTCCTTAATGCATCTCAGGTTGACTAGGCATTTCACACAGGCACCAAGCAGGCTCTTGGATACCTGGGACAGACAGTCTGTGAACACACTGTCAAGCCACAGCCTGAAAATGTTTCCAAATCTTGAAAGGCATTAGTAATACCAAGACTTGATTATCTGATCATTATGCCTGCTTTTCAACTTTTTGTTTTCACACTTCTGCCCATCAAAAGCTGCTCAAAGAACACATGAGTTTACAGAAACTGATGCTCCCCAAAATTACACTGTTAAAACCTAAGGAGGCAGAGAAAGGCAACACATCTGTGATCCAACAAATGTACTAAAAAGGTACTGTAACTAAGTCCTTTATCTCTCATACATTTATTCAAAAGAACAAATCTCTGGTTACTTTAAATTCACAACTGAAAAGCAGTGTTGGATGACCTAATCACAAAGCTGTATGGTGAACACCACACACGTACTCAACCAAATTCCATGGGACTGCTTTAACATGACATTATTTGAAAATACACGTCCTAAAAGAATAGGCTACAGTACATGGCATGTAGTTCTACAAGTTTCTTGCTAAAGAACATAGTTTATCAAAATAAAGATGGATGAGATGAAAGTAGCGAATCTTTTATGTGGAAGTTTTCTCTCTGAGGCGCAAAAATAAATGCAGACACTAGGATTTTGTAAGAGTGACACAATATATCTAGAACTTCTTCCAAGTTACTCCAAATAATTCTGTGCAAGTGTTTTGGTAACTGAATCAAATATGTGAAAGCAAGCAGCCCAGTGAAGTAAATTAGAGTAAAAATGAGAAAAACTAGTGGACCAATTTTCAACATACAGAAGGACTGAAAATTCTCCCATTAAATTAGTTAGTATAACCAAAATCATTAGCACAGGCTAAAATAGACAAAAAATTATATGAGCTAACCATTAAAAAATTACCATGTAAATTAGATATTGGGAAAATAGTAATGGTAAAATGCTATATACTGATACTGCATAAAAATGTTTTTTTCACAAGAATAAGCCTTGGGTCCAGTTTTGTTTACAGTTTGGACATATGTATCACACTAATGAAAGTTACTAATTACACTGAACCAGGAAAAACTGCACAGAAAGGGGGAACAAATAAAAATAATTTAGTGCCCTCAGAAGTTCAAAACTTGTAAGATCCAGGATAATCATGAAACAGGAATTAAGTCTTTAGCTGCAGAAGAATCATAACATACTAAAAGTAAAGAAGAAACTTGAAAAGCAGCAATGCTCAAATGTTATTTAAAGGAATTGTCATAAATAAAGAAATATGATTTAAGTTTGTCAGACATCAAAAGCTTGGTCTTCCTACAAAAGCATCATGTTAGAGAGGATAAACCCAACCAAATAATAACCACACTTAACAGATGACCCTCAGACTAAGTCCAACAAATCATGTATGTGGAATGGTGGTATGGACACCAATATCTGGAGAACTGAGCTTAAGGATGAAAAAAAGCAAATGTAGTGCAAAAAAAGCAGACTAAAAAATAGCTTGAAGAAAGCAGGAAGGAATGAAAATATACAGACAGAACCAGGGCGTGCATGGAGGTTCCAAATTACAAAGACTAGGAAGAATATGCAAAATGGCACAAAAGATGGCTTGGAATATTGGCATGAAATTACAAAAAAGAGCTACTAAATATTACATAAATCCTCCTGCCAGTGAGATGTAGTCATTGAAATAATCTTTAAAAGGAAGCCTAATTGTTTTAGAACATATAAAATCTCACTGGCCAAGACAATATTAGAATGCACAAGTCTACAACCCTGCTTTAGCAAGCAGATGGACTAGATAACCTAAATAATTTTTTCAACCTTATCTCCTACGATGATGCTCAGAAGATCTGACAGGCTCATGCACAATACCCTGCAGTCCTACAAGTATGTGAGCAAGTACAGTAAAAAGACATTGACATCAATTATGAAGACAAGCACAAAAATATATATATTCCACAACCTCTTCGTAAGGCTACATTTGTTTTGTTTTGTTTTTTAAAGGCACCTCATCCTCTAGCTATTGCCAGCTTTTAAAAAAATCACTTTTCAGTTTGAGCAAGAGCTCAAGAGTGAGAAGGAAACATCTTTCAATTCACATTTGAACAGCCACTTCTTACATTCCAATTGTAATCAGAATGACAGTCTTTAAAAACAAGCATGCTGGCCTATTAGTTTTTATGTACAGCAATTTAAACAACTGTGACTACATATTGTATTGTGTAAGCAAAAACACAACATTCATTTCATACTCACACCATTATCCTTTGTATACACAAACTCAAGAGAACTCTTAATACTAAAACATTAAAATGCACCCATGGAGTCTTCCCTTACTAGACACATTTAATACATGTTTACAATATATATACACATATATAATATACATAACTTTTAGAATTTTTCAAATAAATTTTTGTAATTTTCTCTTCAAAAAGAAATAAAATAATGACACTGAAAGAATATGAGTCAAGTACACAAAACTCTCACAAAGTTGAATGCTCAGTTTTGCAGCCAAGTTTCCTCCTTTTCATCATAACCAAAACATTTTATAAAAACTAAATAATCTGTATTATTATTGTAGTCATCTGTTTCATGGTAAAAGTTCTAATCTTATCTAAGGAAATATATTGCATATCAATATCATGAACTGACATATGTGAATATTCTGAGCAATAAAAGGTATTCCAGAATATTTTAGCAGTACATATAATGTGTAGCAGGCTCAAACAGCACAGGTCAACCTTTTATTCTAAATAATATACTTGCTTTAAACTCTGAGATCAACTTCAAATGTGGTCCCATCCCCAAATGGCACTCTAAGAACAACATAGTCAAACCTCATGTTGATATCGTTCGATGACTCCTGCTTATGAAGTGTCAGTTTAAAGGTAAGGATTTATTTATCAGTTTCCAGTCTTAACCTCAGGCTGGTATATGAAGAGTTGCACTGGATTCTTTCCTACTCATATCAGCACCAGAAATCAAAAATCCAGCAGAAATTCTGCTTTCCATTCCCATCAGAGAAAAACACCAACTTCGTGCTTATGAACAGTAATAATTCTGATGATGACACGTAACAGAAAAGAACCCACTCACTTTCCTTTAAGAAGGGACAAAAAGACTAACAGATTGGAATAAAAGTTATTTGTCAAATCAACAGAGAAGCTCTGAATAGATAAACAAAGCACATCTGTTGAGTAATTACGAGAAGCACTCATTCCTCAGGTAACCCAATCAATGGCACATACACCCAGTGAAGTGGACAAGGTAAAAAGTCCCTCAAATGGTGCAGCTGGGAAATATTATAGCAGTAGCAGAATCTCTCAAACTGATGGAGCTTTGTACAGTTTCCACCTATTCCACTAAAAGGACTCATACAAAGCATCAGATTTAATCTTCAAACAAAGTATTTCACTGTTATCCATAATGCCCAGAATGATACCCTTTTTAGCAGAAACAGAAAGAGGAGATGAATGTTTGATAGCTAAAATTGTAGGACAGCTTCTTTGGAAAGCTTTGTGATAATTTCTTGTGCCAGATCTCCAAGAATAAACAGCATTAAAATCTGAATAAGTTAAATTTGCTACTACAGTATGCACAGACTGCATCAGTCTGTTGTTAATTGGGATTTAGACTAAAGGCTCAGTTTCTAGCCATACGCTAATACAGGCTTAAAAAATTATATCGCTTTTGTGGCAAACAAAATATTTACTGAGAAACACAGAAGATGTAACAGAAACTTTACTGCATTTTATTGTATGTTAGTAATTTGCCTTCCTTTAATTGCATTTATCTTAGGCTAGCAGCCAGGTGGCTGAGATTAACTATCTGCTACTGCTCTCTGAATAAGATCTACTTTAT